TTACGCACGCGTTAAATCTTGACCGGTATACCGAAAACCCCGAGTTTTTTGTTTAAAAAGAGCGTCGCGTTATGATGTGTGTGAAACAATGCTTTCTGGACTCAAGACAAGCTGATACGCATTACGGGCGATGGAACTTGGATTTATGCTTACGATCCGGGAACATCCGATCAATTGAGCGAATTCCAAAAAATCGCACCAAAGTCGTTCAAAAGTGAAGGTTTTCTTCGATTATCGTGGGTGTACTTAGTGCATTATGAATTTCTTCCGACCGACCAAATAGGTAGTCAACAAGGAATAGGTATTATTTATACGTTTTGCTTCGTTTACGTCAAGCTATAGGTATACGCCTCAAGAGGCAAGAATTGTGGGACAACAACTGTTGATTTTTGAACCACGATAATGCTCACACTGCATTGATTTTACGCGAGTTTTACGTTAAAAATGCGACATATATCGTTCCACAACCACCGTATTCCGTATATTTTGATAAATCTTTTATACTTATACTTATACCTATACCTACTTATCTACATATTTTTAACTTTTACGCGATATCTCTATTTTATTTTTTATAGATATATGATACTTACTCGTATATTTATTCAAATTATTATAATTTATGTATATTTTACGCCAATTGGCACAAAGAAATAAATCAATCAATCATATTCACCTGATGATTTAGCTCCGTGCGATCTTCTGGCTATTCGCTAAGCTCAAAAGACCGCTCCGGGGACGTCGTTTTGAGTCAATTGAAGAGAAGAAGGTGTTGAAAGCCATTCCGGAAACTGACTATTTGGGATGCTTCCGGGACTGGAAAAAAATGCTGGTATACATACATGTGATTGGAAACGTAGGTATACCAAGGAAGGTGTTTGATTGATCATATACTAACCTTAATGTATCTACCTAAGTATTTGTAAATCTTCTTCTTTGACCAATAGGTCATTAAAGAGTTCGTAAAATGAGATCTAATCTGCAACTATAGGTAGTAAGTGAGCTTTTTAATAAATATCGCACTCAAAGTTTATATAATACCAAAAAAATCCTCTCGTCGACTTATAAAAAGGAGATACCTATAGTCAAAATAAAGGCAAATGACGACTTTATTATAAAGTCGGGAAATTCCCTCAAAGCTATGTGGACAATCATCAATACCTATAATAAATGCCCAAGTGTACCACGTACAATATTATATCTTGTACTGATTTCAATCGTTTCTTTAGTAGTAACGTTGATGAAATATTAGCTGATCTACCTGACAGTGTCAATGATCCTGTTACTTATTGTAGATCCTATCAAAGCACTTATCTCTTTGAATTCAAAAGCGTATCTCAGATTGACATTCGCGACGCGATCAAAAATTTACGAAATAGTAACTCTAGAGACATATTCGGTTTAAGCTTAACATTGATTAAACGTAACATAAGTGCCTTTGTGGAACCTCTCACTAAATTGACAAACCTGATCATTGCGACAGGAGTATTTCCCGATATTTTGAAATTAGCGTTAGTCATACCCCAATTAAAGAAAGGGCTAGATAGTAATGACACTGGTAGTTACAGACCAATTTCCAACCTCCCCATTTTTAGTAAAATAATTGAAAAGGTGCTCTATAGGCAAATAGTACACTTTTTCGAATTTAACAATATTTTCTATCGCCATCAGTATGGATTTAGAAAAGGAAGGTCTACTTCCGATGCAATCACTTCTTCTACTACCTATCAGTGTTCTAAACTGCTTCGAGACCAGACAGCATACGGTTGCTGCTTTTGTGGACCTCTCCAAAGCTTTCGATTGTGTGTCACATGACATTCTAATACGCAAGCTTGGAGAGGTTTACAACTTCAGCAGCGTCAGTCGATCACTACTTGCTTCATATCTGAGCAATAGATATCAATGTGTCATCTTTAATAATGTCATTTCCGGGAAATTACCGCTTATGCATGGTGTACCCCAAGGGTCCATTCTTGGCCTATTGTTATTTTTAATTTATATAAATGACCTACCTGCATCTTTGCCATTAAAGGTGAAATGCATATTGTATGCCGATGATGCCACACTGATATCTACTGATCAAGTGCTTGACGCTGCTTTGCTGATGTCACGGAGTGGTGCACGGACAACAAATTAAAATTAAATGCATCCAAAACTACTATTATGCCTCTGTCCCTAAAGAAAGGTGTTATTGAAATTAGTTGCCAGTCAATCTCTTTTTTGGGGTGCAACATTGATTCAAAATTGAATTTCAAATATCACTGCAATAGTGTAAGTAAAAAATTAAATAAATCAATATTTTTACTTACTAGATTGCGTTATAATACTTCCATTAATATTACTACAAGTGTCTATTTTGCCTATGCCCACAGTATTATGTCATATGCCATACTAGCATGGGGTCATAGCTCCCATTGGCATTGCATTTTTAAACTCCAACGTAGAGCTATTAGGGTCATATCTTGTCTTGGTTATAGGGACGAGTGTCGTAAGGCATTTATTGATCTAAGAATTTTAACTCTTCCCTGTATTTATATCCTTTCTGCAGTGTGTTACGCTAAGCAAAATATGTTTACTAATGTACAACAGTCAAAAGTTCACGACCATAACACTAGACTCAAGGGCAATATTCGCACTGACCTTTGCAGATTAGCAATATCTCAATTTGGTATACGAATATACGATATCAGTCCCAATTTTTGTTTAATTGTCTCCCAGCTAATATACAATCATTACCTTTCTCTACATTCAAATTAAAAATTAAACAAATTCTATTAAGTAAGGTTTTTTATTCGTTCGACGAGTTTGTTAGTTATTGTAAGTCTTCTCCGTTCATATACACAATGTGATTGTAACTATACGTTCGTTTTATTGTTTATTGTTTATGTACCTATCTTTGTTGACGAGTGTAAGTGTATAAACACAACACACAATAAAATATTATTATTATTATTATTATTACCTTTAGGTACATATGGGTCCATTGCCAATTTAATACCCATCTCACACATTTCGGGCAACCTTTACTTTGGAAACGTAGTGATAAGCACATAGAGAATTCAATCCAATAGATGAATAAAATCAAATTTAAAAGGAGAACCACAAGGGCACGTCTTGAAATTGGAATTAATGAATAAAATCCTGAAGCACAATGGCAATAATCACATTTCAATATTCGATATCTCTCTTATTTTCTTAATCGTCTACATTGATCTCTCGCTGCGTTTCGAATCGTTAAATTTGCAAGAGAAAGTGTAGTAATGAAGACCCGTGGACCACACAAGTTGTTGCAGTGATTGGTTCTCGGCGTCTGCCAAATCCTTTGTTAAAGTGGGAAATAAAATAAGTGGGGTAAGGATAATGTGGTGGGGGCAAATGCGACATGTTCTGTTACAACAACCAGAGTGGGAAATATAGGCGTGTTACATTTCCGTGAATCGACGTCGGAGTGGGGGAGTTTTGATAGTGTCAATTTGTGTACCCCTCATTCGCTGTGATTTATTGATACAGCAAAATTTTGTTTGCATGATCGATTGTTGCATTACGGTTTGCAGCTATTTGTTACGTATACTTACGAAATAATTACACGTATAAGGTGCTTCTGCTACATTGTATCATATGGCACAATTGTACTTAATCGATAAATTTTCCACTTTTCTTGGAACAATATAGTTAAGTTTTTAAGGCCTTACATTCTTCGGAAAGGCCTTCACGTTTACTTTATATAACAACTCCGGCTAGTATTTCCTTTATAGTATCTTAATTAATTAAACGTTAATTATTAGAAGCATTTAACAATAAATTGCAAGGAATGATTCTTAGAAAAATCCACAGCACAGTCTTTGCACTAACTGTTTATGTCTTTACTTATAAATTTCATTACACTTTCTAAATCTAGTTATTGTACTAATGCGTCTTTATACGATAGGCATAATAGCTAGGTAGCTAATTAGCAAAATATTTTATAGTTTGTTTATTCTTTTATAGTGCACACTTCTTGTAATATTTTAATGGAGTCCATACCAAAACTAGAGGTTTCCTATAATTCTAAAGCTTGAAATTTTAGAGTTTATATAAGAGCCAACCTGGAGGAAACAAACATGGAGAATGCACCGAGCCTGTTGGTGTCAGGATAGGTAGATATACCTTAGGTATAAATTTCTTTAGTTGGTATGTGTACCTACCACGCCATTGATTTGATATCTAGGCGTAGATGATGATTATAATAACTCAAATGTCACAAAAAAGTGTTAGACATTTTTTATACCTGTAATATAAATATTTGAATAAATAATGTAATTTTTAACATATTAATGGCGTTAAATGTCCACACTTATTTAATATACAGCGAGGTAATTTTTAAGTTGGATATTTGGATAGCGCTTTGTAAAACAAATTAGTGAAGAGAATGTTGGAAATACGTCTTGTTAATTATTTAAATTAATGTTTGAATTTCAAATTTATTAAAAAGAAAACAATAACTCTAAAATTAAGTTAATATGAAAGATAGCCTATGAAACTTAATTGTTTGTAAGTGTTATGCGCCTAATTTAAGAGTTTTTCTCTCTATAAGTAATTAAAACGTAGTGCATCCTGCTTTTAATGGTTTTGCTTATAACATTCGCTAAACTGATGTGAGTATGCCCAATATACGCGCCTGTCTTTCAATTAAAAGGTTCAGTTTTCAGATCAATGAGTAAAGTGTTAAAGCTCGATTATAGAGTTTGAGAAGAAAACAAGACATCACTCTAAAAAATACTCAATCCAGTTAAGCAAGACGATAAATAACAATAGGTATGAATATGATCATGTGTGCTACATGCACACACAAACAGTCTGCATAATCTCCCACTTTGTGGTTGGGATTATAAATAATCCATATAAAACACGTCAAAAACAACCAGATCATTCGTTTCCAGAGACTTTGATTCGCTTACGCAGACGACTTTCCCCCTAATCCGGTACGCCTTTATCCGGAAACTCCGCCTTTGAAATGTACCTAAAGCTCAGAACATCGTGAAAACTCGTGTCGAACACATCGAATCACAGAAGTACAACCTCCCTTTAACTGGTTAAATTTATAAAAACATTGTTAGTGATTTTGTGACGTGAGAGTGACGTGACGTGAAATGTAGGATAAAATAATAAAGAAACGTGTATAAACTAAAGCGAAGATGACAACCGTCGCAACGAATTTGGTAGCGAGTTTCGCACGTCAAAATCTGGAAAACGGAGAAGGATCGATCGACTCTAACGACGTTTCGCACAATTTCGACGGCGAATCATCATCGCACCTAGACGAAAACAGCTGCAGTAGCAATGACACGATTCTATCCGTCGGCAACGAAAACCCGCACGGGGAAAACCTCTCATTCAAAAACATCGAAAGTCACCTAAACGCAATTTCGCAAATAAGTAACAGCACATTAGATCAAGTCAAGGAATGTCGAAGCCCTTCTAGTCCTTTAAGCCACATACTTAGCCCGGCGAGTACGAAATCCGTGTCAGAATCGCCGACTCCAAGTTATATGTATAGAAATTCTGACTGTCTGTCAGAAAAGTCGAATCCAACATCACCTTCCGAATTTGTTAGCCCAATCTTTAGACCAAATTTATGTTCACCAATTAGTCCTAGGTTAAGTTTATCGAGTCCCGACTCGCCAGAATCGAATCAAAGTCCAAAGTCGGAGACGTTCTTCTTTCGACCGAACGGAATAAAATCGGCCAACAATATCGAGGTGAATAACGGCTCGTTAAAGTTTTCCATAGACAATATACTGAAAGCCGATTTCGGTAGAAGAATTACGGACCCTATAAACATCAAAAAGGCGAAACCGAGGAAGGTTGTCATTCCTCCTATCAATGACGACGCTAACAAAACTGACCCAGTTGATTTGTGTAAAAATGACGCGTCGAACACCGTTGGGAAGAATTCAGAGGCGGTTTCGACAAATAATCAACCGATGTTGTGGCCTGCATGGGTTTACTGCACGAGATACAGCGATCGGCCAAGCTCAGGTAAATTTTACATCCTTTAATAGGTAACTGTAGGACGTTACTTTAGTTCAAAAAGAGCGCGCAAATAGTAATAGACCGCCGTTTGAAGATTTTTATCTCGACTTTTTTACATAACACAACGTTTCATCTCATTAGGGCTAACAAGATGCATATAATCATTTTTTATTACCTACCTATAGTGTATAACCGTCACGGATTTTTTAAATTACTGTCAGTTAGGCACCTAATTAGTGATATGTCCGGCGCAATTGTGCTCCACCACTATTTAGAAATCTTCAATATGCAAAATATATACGAATCGTGAAGAAAACAATACACATTTATAACGTAATTACTCTGCAGCGCGTTCATTAACCGTATAAATAAAAAACTTATTTAAATACCCCGACAGCACCTAGAGAAAGAAATTAAAATCTTAATTTTCATTTATCCAGATAATTGGCATAAGTAATAAATTATAACAATCATGAGATTGTTAATTTCACTGCAACATGCTAATTTTTTCGTAATTAAACAATTAGGTCCCAATTTAAAGTTTTAAATGGGCACAATTATGGAACCTCTTCATATTCCCAAGTGCATATTGAATAAAAATACTATTTACTTACAAGAAATCCCAGCTTAATTGAAAGATTCGCGAAATTTATCTTACAATTACTTATAGAGATTTTAAGTTTAATTATTTATTTACCTCTACATGTTGATAACTATATACTTATAAATAGATTACAATTAGCATATTCATGACTACAAGTTTAAGATTAACTTGTACTGTTATTGGGCGTGTTAGTTGTTTTGATTAATTAATTTAAATTAGTTGCAATTTAATCGAGATTCTTACGATGACAAATTAAAGCTGATTCTTGAAAGGAGAATTTTTTAAGTATAGCCTCTATAACACCTAATATTAATAACGCTTAATCGCGCAATTTAGAACGGAATTTAACGTATTCGGCTATACATTTCTAAACTAAATGTGTATAACGTACAAGTGGTAATTAATTTGAACCAATTTGTAACAGTATAAATCCTGAATAATTTAATGCTCCAAAGGGCCGTTTCTTATTTTAAGTATTTGGCTGTAAATTTAACCTAAATTAATCTGATACTTAAGTAAACATTCTTTATGCCGAATGTAATCGCTGCATCTGTTTTTAATAATCATATCAAGTGACTTGGGTTGAGTATAAACAAAGATATATTTTTAAATTTTCAAAACCGTAAATAATCTTAAAACCGACATAGAAATACCTAAAATAAGAACTTAAATAACATTTTTATATTCTCTTAAATTTTTTGGAATTCGCCATGTTCTTTTAAATATAAAGGTCATATATGGACAATTATTGTAGGTACATATACTTACTTATATACAACGCCTTTTACCATTTTCGCTAAATTATGCCTCTAAGGCATTGAATTTCTAAACGAAGAGGAGGTAGTGTGGGTACCATATATATAGGGATGTTATTAATATATAGCAACATAAAAAAAAATTTAACACAAAACTATAGGTAGGTACCTACACCTATACTATACTCGCAGTATACTTTACCTATACCTGCTATATAATTTCAGATAATATTTAGGCATCTACCTATTGGTACATGCATATCAGCTAATCCATATACCTATATCCTTTCGATTGAAATTTAGATTTTAATTATATACCAATACGTTTTGAGGGCGAAAGGGGTTTAATAACCTTTGCTTATTACATTAAATATTTTAGTGTAGGATTAAGTCATGTTTTTGGTAATTATCACTGAATGTAGGAAGCGTTAGATAAATTACTAGTGGTACCTATATATCAAGAGATAGGTCCGTCCCGTAAAAGTGCCTTCTTTAGGTACCTACAGTAAAAACGCGTGTCCAGTGGAAGTTTGATAAGAGACCTGAAACAAAACGATTGACCATTAGGTAGGTATATCAATCCGAGGAAATAAATATTTTGGACGTTTTACATACCTATACCTATTATGTTGAATGATTTTTTTGGAGGGTTGTACAACGTATTTGCAATTTTTTTTATTTTTAAAGGGTAGGTAGGTAGGTACCCGTGCAATCTCGACATAATTATTTGTGTTAGCTGGCAGTTTTACTTTTGTTTCCGTCTTTCAGTGACAAGAAGCCAATAAGCTACAATTACCTAATACAAAAAAAAAACTAGATGACATTTTATTTAAAAATGAAGGGTTTAACGAACTAAAAAAGGTGGCACAGGTGTTGGCTAGGGAAAATGTAGATACTACTCGCAACTAGTGTCGATACGGAAAGATGTTTGTGTGTATAACCACGTACTCCTAAGTACCTATAATAGGGGCACAAATTTTAAGATGGACCACTTGGAACAATACTTAATCATTAATTGTTTTAATACAGCTTATGTTTAAATAGTTTGGATTAAAGAAATTTCAATAATTGTTTGTGCATATTATTTAATTTTTTATGCATATCTTTTTTTGCTATATTTTTTGTACATACCTATACATATGTGCATTTTTGACGCATTTTCATGCATAGGTATAAGTCCCTACTTATCATTTAATTGACAGAGACAATGACAATGATATTGATAATTTGTCTATTATTTAGATACTAGCAGTCCCGAAGAACGTAGTACCGCCTTTGAGAAATCCCGATTCTTTCTGTGCCTCGTTACCATTTTTCCCTGTTTAACACCTTCAGAGAAACCTACGTTCTAAATATCAAGTCTCTATTAGACTGTAAAACACAAAATCCTGTTCCCGTTGCTGTGGGAATTTCGGAAAGTGTTCTACTATAACTCAGAAACTTTCGCGAGTTTGAAATCCTTTGAGTTTACTTATGCGAGTTAAGAGATGGAAGTTCAGCACATGGTGGTGATATGTTACAAAATCACACTGTGCACAATTTACATTTTTTAAAGTGTGAGTTATAACATGCCTTGACTTTGCTTTGTACTGGTACCGGCACGTAAGAAGGTTACAGCTGGCTATGCGCAGCTGGAGCCAACTTACTCCCGTAACGCATTAATAAGTACAATTAATAAAATATTAATAGTGAGGATGCTGATCTTTCACCTTCCTACGTCTCGAGCAGGTACCGTAGTTCGTTGTACAATCACACTGTGCACATTTTAAATCCTTTGTGTCTTAAGAGACGCTGTAACTTGAAAGTTTTGCGTGAATAGGCTGAAAAAATATCAAAAAATAGCTATAATTTAAATGCGCTATTATATATGAAAGTGTATTTCCTGTAGGGAATTATTTTGTACGTAATCAAATCCGACAATGTATCATAAGTTTAGAGTTTAATAAAATTGATCGTGTTTGGCAAACCTAAAAAACAAAGCTGTCAGAGAAATTTTTCTTGTGCATGATTTATTTAAATAAAAAATTCCAATAAATTGTACAACTTTGTGATACATCGGTGATCGGTGAATGAAGCAGATCCTATCAAAATCAAATTGCGGGTCATTGATGATTTAAAACGTAACTGTGGTCGGTGTTTTTGCAATCATTTTGATATTGTTGCTAGATGTTACACTCTGTATAAAAGGTTTGGTAATATATGAATATAAGAATCAATTATATTTGAAAATTAAAAATTATTAAAATGGAGCGCTACATCAACAGAATGTTCCTATCGGCTTCAAATTTGCTACACGGTCATTACATTCTATTTTTAACAGTTTTTTAAGTAACATTTTTTTTTCGTTTTCCGATCGAGTTAAAAAATAAAAAAAAAACAAAAAATTCAAAATAGATCTACGATTTTGAAATTTTGCACGTTTACTCAATTTTTCATTCTGAACAACTATATTTTTAATGTAACATTTTTGGAAATCTCGTCCCAAAAGAACACCTTCCTGGGTATGCAAAAAACGGTTTTTTCATTTCAAAGGCACCCTTGATTATCCGAAATGAAAATTATGTCACAAATTAGTTTCCAACCAAGCAGGGCTGATCCTCAAAAGTTCAAATATCAATTCGTTTTTCTCTTTTACAAGAGGCGACCAAACAATCGAGGGACACACTTTAGGTATACCTATCATATAATTGGTTATGGAAAGATTAATAAAATAACGAAAAATAAAAAAAATCACTCCTACTATTGCACGTTTTCAAAAGATTAAAAAGGAACAACTTTTACTCGCATGTACCTATATTAATAACATTTTTCTTTGGAGTCAAAGAAAGTTTTTACATCTATTTGAGCATACCCAGTTTTTTTAACTGATTTTGTACTTCAAGATTCTTTATTATAACTGGATCTTTCCTCTTAAGCTCACTCGCTAATGAATATATTACCTAAGCTAAAAAAAATCGAATATGAAATAGTTACTATGAATTGCAAAATCTCGTTAGATAGGTACAGGGGTTTCCGTATATTTAAACAGCGCCCGTGGGTGTGTTATAAGAGAAGAACTTTAAATACAACAGTAAAAAACAAATGAATATTGGAAAAGTTAGTAAGTTAGTATCTATATAAATAAAAATGAATGTTTGTATGTTTGTATGTCCCTTATGCCTGCCTAAACCGTTCATCCGATTGCGATGAAACTTTGGGGAATAGTTGGAGGTATGCCCGGGAAGGTTTCTATATAACAAAAGAAAGGTTTAAGAAGTAATTTAAGATTTACTACAGTAGCTACGACGAGGTACTCATTGGTACGGGCTTTCTCTCGCTTGGAAAGAGTGTCCAAGATAAGGATGTCTATCATGGAGATCGAAACCATAGAAGATACGATGATGGTCAAATTAGAGAAAAGATGCGCAATTAAACCATTATTATCGTGCTTTAGAGAAAACAAAAAAAATTCCGATTACTTCCGAAGATATGACAGAAAAAGTGAAACTTACCGATCTTATGTTTATTTTTTGCTGGTGTTATTTGAACATATTCAACAAGAAAGACAAAAGATACTTTCTCAGTGCCACTTTTTGAACTCTACAAGACAGCACCCGCGCACAACTTGCGAGCATACCTATCGCGGATCAATTCCTGGAAAATAGAAA